TTTTCTGATCTGATCTTTAGCTTTTCAAGCCTGTTCTTTTGTCTTGTCATCTGAAAGTTTACTAGCTAACTTTTTAACATAATTACTAAGCTAAGATAAACTAGTTTATAATATTAATTTGTAACAATTTACAAATAATATAGTGATTTTGCCATGATTAGTATAGCAAAGCTATTATCTTTGATATATATATGTTAATTGAGATTAAGATTACTTGTCAAAATCCCTTAATGACTGTCTAAATTTTGTTGAAATTATAATAAACTATTAGTAAATAACCCATCAAAATTTTGATGAATTTTGAAACCCATCATAACTGAAATTATGTCAAAATTCTAATTAACAATTAGTGTATAACCCATCGAAATTATGATAATATTTTTCTAAAAGAATTTAGGCAAGCATCCTTAATTGAGATGATTGAAATATTTTGTATAAATTATTTTTATCTGATATATACTGTAGAGATTCTTTTTTTAAATTGAAATTAATTATCTTGAGTCAGTATATGTATACTTCAAAAATTGAATGGATTATAATTAGAGTAATTCTATTAAATACTTGCAACAATAATGATTAAATTTAAGAGGCAAAAACTCAGTTATTAACTAATTGAAATAAAATAAATGTCATGTAATTCTATAAACTAGACTAATAAATGATAACAATTTCAAATGATAGATAAACAATATAAAAATCAATCAAGAAAAAAATATTCAGCAAAATATAGAGGTAATATTTCAGTTAATTTTCATTATAAAAATAAAATAACGTAGGAGCTCAGTAGAAAAATGATAAAATAAATATGAATCAATTTAATTAGCTTGCAATATATTATTTTATATAAATGCATAATATATCAATTAAATAAATATAATATATCAACAAATCAATGATTAACATTGATTATGATTGTATTATTCAAAATGAAATTGATTTCCAACAATACCCATTGGCAATTGATCATCAATATTCTAACCAATCATTCTTTAGCATAATTATATTCGAATACTAACTATACGTATTAGCAATCGATTATAAATCATTTCAATTGGTAATCAATTATCAACATCCCAACTAATTAAAATTTATCATGATTATAAATGATTACAAACTATTCTCATTGATAATTGATTGCCAACCATGTACATTGGCAATCAAGCATCAACAATCCACTGATTAGTAATGATCGTGATTATAATTGATTGTAATCAATTCTTGCTAGTAATCGATTAGCTACCTTATATATTGGCAATCGATTTTCAACACCCCTACTGATTGATATTGATCATGATTGTAATTGATTGTGAACAGAACTTGTTGATAATCAATTACTGACAATTTTTGTTGGTAATCAATCATCAACACACTATTATTTTCTATCGCTAACAGTTATAATCAATTGCTAATGATGTTTTTTGATGATTTTTGATCGCAATCGATTGTCAGCAATTATAATCAATTATAATTGTTGATAATCAATTGTAATCCCTATTGATGGTGAATGATGAGGGTGTTGATAATTAATTGTCAATGGGCATAGTTATAAATCGATTGCCAACAGATATAGAAATTTCCTGATGATTGACTTAAAAGACAGTTACTTGATAAAATTATTATTTGAATCATAACTTTTGAAGTTCTAAAATAATATACAAAACTTAGCAAAGTTATTGAATATCATTCTAGCTTATCACAATAAGAATACATGTTACCTATTTTTAGTAATAAATCTTAGTCTCTTCCACTATAAAAACTTAATCTTTTTTATCCTTAAATTAATAAAACACATGATTAATACGTCAAGAATTCAACATCTATAAAATGATAACAATATTCATATTCTTGTTAGCTCATTATTGTTAACTATCTATTTTCATTATTTATATTTTTCTTATTTAAAATCTGCTGTAAACACAGTCACTGTTAGCCATTTCTAAATATTCTCATACGTAAGAACTAGAAACAGTAGCAATAGTCACCATTCTCAGGAAAGCAAAATTTGGTGACTATAGAAAAAATGTAATTATAGAGAGATTTTTTTTACTATGTTTATATATAAATGTGAAAGCAAAATAAAGTGACTATAGAGAGATGTGACTATAAATAGGCATCACTATAAAGAGATTTGACTGTATTAACTAATTATTACTGTAATCAATTTTGATTGGCTGATTAACTCAATGTCATAGATTTTCAAGATAACAAATTTTGATAAATCAATATAAGGTTGAGAATTTTAAGAGGTTATAACTTATATTCAAAAATTTTTCATTGACCAAATTGTATTCAGATCAAATATTCTCATTAAACTATAAGACTTAGATAAAATGGATGGGACTTGCTGTTCCCCGTCTCACCAACATTTTTTATCCGTATTTTTCGCATTTTGTTTTGCTGGATTGATCAAAAATTTGCACAACCTTATTGGTCTGTGCCACCGGTAAATCGTATTCTTATTGGTTTGCGTCACCAACCTGTGCATAGTTCCGATTTCCAGATATGAACTACGAACGGAAAAAAAAAGATAGTATGGTGCATACCATCTAAAGTCATCAAACGTTTTATTTTATAAAATGAATAAACTTCTTTACTAAGAAGTAGATACAAAATTTAATCCGTAATATGCTCAGAAAGGACCTATTCTATCATATTTACGGATTAAATGTTGTATTTGCTTCTTAGTAAAGAAGTTTATCCATTTTATAAAATACAAGCGTTAGATGGTATGCACCATAAATACACGAAATGCAAGGTGAATTTGGTCAATGCGCCTAAAGCTCGAACCTTATTACTAAAATAGTGTTCTGTAATTTCTTTGTTGTGTGATGCAAATTTATTCTGGTTAACGGTTTTTATGGTTAATTTTGCTTGTTTCTCATTTTATTATTTCTCTAAGACCTCGCAAATAATAAGTCAAATTTATATGTTTAGCGAAAATAAAGATATCTATAATCATACACGCTGCTTTGCAATAATCATGATTTGCACGATTTTTTACATCAACTTTGGAGACTGATATCTCCGATAATACGCGACCAATTTTCATGATCCAGACTCGCCTTTATTAGGCGAGTCGAATGAGCCCAAGTTTGCAGAAATTTGACTACAGGCTGACGAGATATTGGTGTCCAAAATTGCCTTACGGATCAATGCGGGAAGTTTGTGCTACACACGCGAATCATGTGCGCGTTATTTTTCGTAACGCCTTTGCATTTATTTTTCCTTACAGTTTCCGATGATGTATCTGCGGATTTCTTGTATAAAAGCGGTATGAATTTGATACTCGCATTGCAAGATACCAGAATACTTATCGGACTTATTCCCTTTCTTGGTTCTCGTCGCTTTGGTGTTTTTCGCGGAAAGAATAACGTTCATCTAGAAATTGGAGATCCGTTAAAGCGTTGTATCCACGTGACCATGTGGATATTGCAATTAAAGGAATTTACTAATTCCTTCCAAGTTCTGATTGGTTGAGGATATTAAAGGTTAATTTTAGCGTTAGGGTTAGGGTTAGAGTGGATATCAAGATTTTATGTAAAATTGCTTCCTCGACATTTTTTATTAGTGCTTCAAGGCAGATTTAAGCATTCGTTTTCTGCATATTTCATTTTTAATTTTCTTGTGTCGGATTTGTCTTGCCGGATTGATAAAAAATTTATGCATTTTTATTGGTTAAGCTAGAAGACCCGGTGTGCAGTCAACCAATCAGCGATGAAAATTACTTGCGTCCAATCAAAACTTGGGGAAATTAGTAAATGCAGGTTTATAATTGAAAACAAGACTATGGTGCATACCATCTAAAGGCATCAAACGTTTTATTTTATAAAATGGATACTAAGAAGTAGATACAAAATTTAATCCGTAAATATGCTCAGAAAGGGCCTATTCTACCATATTTACGGATTAAATGTTGTATTTACTTCTTAGTAAAGAAGTTCATCCATTTTATAAAATACAAACGTTTGATGACTTTAGATGGTATGCAACATATATGTAAAATTGCCTTCCCGACATTTTTTAGGATTTGTTTTGCCGGCTACCACTTTTTCCGGGTGACGCAAATTTTTTATCAGCCCGGCAAAACAATCCGACGCAAAAAAAATGAAAAATACGGGAAATGGATAGATAGTCTTGATCTCAGAAAACCAACCTTCTAATGTTAATTCATGTGAGGGATCATGATGAAAACGGATTATGGTGAAAATTTGCAATATATATTATAATAAACTATGAATAACAATTATACTCATAAATTTACATAGTATTTAACAATATAAATATTATTGCAAAATTAATTTAAGTTGTAATATTTTATGCATTTATCATTATTTTCAAATATTGTTCTTTTATTATAAGAAATTGTCGATAATTCTGGCCAAATGATCTCATGATCTGCACAATTTTGGCCAAAATTTTCATCATAATCCGTTCTTCATCATGATCGACAAAACCTGGCACATATTTCAGAAGTGCGTTAGCGTTAGATACAATGCTTTATCGCATCCCTTTTCTTCGAAATGATAACCATCACGTGGTGTAAAACTTATCACTCGACTTTTCGGTTCCATTATCACATGACATTTAAAAGGACTGACTTTTGAACTACGACTCAATAATAAGTTCAATAAAGTTCTATATTGTTATATTTCTGAAATTCTGAAATCATATTTTTTAAAATAACAATGATAATTATTTTCAATTTTTAAAATTTATAGTTCTCAAAAATAATAGTTAAAATACTGATATAAAGTCTTTGGATGTTTCACATGACTTATCTCGAAACAGGCCAATTCGCTAATGCTGATCACTTGACCAGTGGAACTGTCACTAAAAATTCTGAACCCTGAAATTTTATACCCAGATGTTTGTTCGCACGCGTTTATCGCGAACCAAAATTTTACTGTTAAATTCACTAAAAATATTTTAATACAATAACGATAATCAATTATTCACTTTCTAACTTTCAGCCGTTTATATCTCTCCGAGCGTGCCAAGTTCTACTTTTCTTTTTTAGTAGGATCCTCCTGTGTCGTAATTTCTCTCTTCTTTTCAGTCTCTTTTGGTATTTCTTGTATTTCCCTATCTCGATTCTTTTGTTGTTGTACGCGTTTTGCTTTTGTATTAGCGACTACACCAAATATGAATCTAGTAATAATAAAATATTAAAGATTAATTTAAATAAATTACTAAAAATATTATAGAATACATAAAATAAATCTTACCCAACAATATTGAAAAAAGGTACCCAGAGTTTCGGCTCCAAGAATCGTTGAGCATAGGCCATTGTTAATGGGGAAACAACCCATGTTATTTTCATTAAACCCCAGATAGAGGCTCTCACTGCACCATATATATGTGCTGGATTTTTAACACCTGCAATTATCGCCATCGCAGCCAAAAATACTGAATAATTGACAAGAATTGATAAAGTTAATGATAAAAAAAGAAATCAAGGAAGAAAATAATCTATTGACATAAACTTTACCTGCATTCTGAATGGGAGAAATGATTAAATTCGAGGCAATAAGTTGGAGCAATTTAGCGCTACTGGTCGTACGTCCTTTAAATACTTTATTTAATGTCTCAAAGAGAAAATGTCCGAGTGGACCACTAATAAAGAATCCTAGTCATCAACAAAAACATGATAATATTGAATTTATCAGTAATTTTCTTTATTGAGAATAATTCTCTGGAAAATTTAAACAAAAGAATAAATACCGTATATTGCCATTTTTACAACTCTGTCATTATTTTCGCTACCAAATATTGTTTTCTTTTCAACCTCTTTTAACTTTTCCTTACGACTACCACTTAACTCTTGCGCGACATACTCTTGCAAGGCCGAAAGAATTCCGGAAGTGGCAGCCTTAGTTCGCAAGGGGTGTACTGTCAATTCTGTCAAGTACCAGCTTAATATCAAGGAGGGCAAATACTGAGAGGATTCTTGAACTGGTTTTGACAGAGTTTGCATTGTTTTATATTGATAGGAGTAGTATCTCGTTAATAGTTATATCCTTGTTATATGGATTATTATATAAGGTAGCGGAAAGAAGCAAGGACTTTAACTTTTTATGAAGCGTAGTTGGCAAGACGGAGAAGAGAAGGTTCATCAATATTTTATCATTGTTTTACCAATCAGATGATAAACTAGCGCCTATCATTATTTATAATCACCCCAATTAAGAATTATGCCATTTTCCATCCGTACAAAGAAAATTTAATTGAAACTATTTTTTCCTTTTAATAATCCTTTCTTTCGCCATCTTTCTAATCTTTTTTCAGTTTTCTTTGCCCATTCTAATTTTTTCGCCTGATTCTTACTTAAAACCGGATCAACTACTTGTGTGAAATGCGCCTCAATTCCCTCAGGCGACACATCGTCCAAGGTATAACGACCATATTTTCCCTGACGATACTGTTTAACGAAAAACATGGCAGAATTGTTTAAGTCTACTGCTCCACCTTTTTGTAGTGCACCAATTCTTTTACCTATCGCTTGAAGCAGAATATTAATGTCGTCTGTAGGTCCTGGGAGCTTGAATTTTTCTACATAACTATTAAAAAAATCGTATTTGTTTAATAAATTAAAAAGTATTCTGATAAAATTCGATTTTTTTACCTGAAATTTCCAAATTGATTCAAACGCCACAACAAGTAGTCAGCCATAACTTCCAAGTCTGCTACATGATCCCTAATTCCGCCTAAATGATTAAACTAATTAAATATGTAGAGACATAAAAAAAAAAGTATATAAAAAACGAACCTGTCAGTGCAACTTTTAAAGAATTTATCGGATCACTAATATGCGGAATCATAACACCTAATCAAATCAATTAATTTAAATTCAGAAAAAAGGCAAAATTAACTCGAATACATTTCCAAATAAAAACCTGGTGTGTCAATTAAATATACAGACGGATTCTCTAAAACCTTTACAGTGCCCGCGACTGATCTTGTGACGCCAGGTAATGCACCTGTTCGAGCAGCTTTACCTATTTTCATAGAGTATATGAAAATTGAATTATTCTTGTATTATGATTCTTGTTGTGATAGACAGATACCTTTATGTACACCGATACTTCTCATCGAATTTATTAGAGTCGACTTCCCGACATTAGGCATTCCAACTACCATCACGGTGACATAAGAATATTGAATTGAATCTTCTTTTGCTTTCGCTTGTTATCAAGAAAATAGACTTCATCAATATAATCATTGTCATTGATTTAAAGATTTGGTAAAGGAATAATAATAACAAATACCAGCTGCAATTTTAATAATTGACTTGACATTTTTATCTACGTTAGCACTTGTAAAAATGACTCGTTGATTTGGTCGATATTTTGCAAATGATTTAATGATTTGCTTATTTTGATCATATATTAATATGAGGCATATAAAAAACCTGCAAACGTAAAGTTAACAAAGGGGAGATACATTGTCTTCACCTCCTGAACTGACTCATCAGCCAAATCGGTTTTATTATACACGATGACGCGATCTTTTGCCCCGGCGATTTCTTCGAATTTCAAATTGATAGCCGATAAAGGGATGTATATAATAATAATATAGTTTAGGATTCTCACCACATTCTATTGCAACAAAAAAATAACAATCTAAAAGGATATTCGTGCATCGCGCGCCTCAACAATCAAATCAACCGATGATAATTTCTCGCTGATTATTCGAAGTCCTTTGGCCATATGCCCAGGAAACCAATTAATTACTTTTTCATAGGCAAAATGTGGGCGTATTTGAAACATTGATGGATGTTTAGTGTATGAAAAATTCTTCTGATCTCATAGAATCATTTGTTATTCCAAATAGTATCAAGTTATCTTCACAAAAAATAAAACTATTGAGCAAGTCAGTAAAAAATAACTTTATATTCAACCTTGTTAGTTGTGTATTAGCATTATCGTTATCTCAAAAGTAACACGAGTGTTATGGTCAGTTAAATGACGCGTTTTTTATCTTTTTTTGTAATTACCTACTCAAATGTGATTTTTTATAAATGAAACTTTGAAAATGACGAAATTTCCTCCAAGCAAGTGACACGTTAAAAGCACTTAATCGGTGCAGCAAAACCAACAATTGTCAGTACATTACATGAAACAACTTAAAATTTTAATTTTCAGGTGCGAAACTATTTTGAAAATCTATCTGTTCAATCCTGAACTATTGTCACATCTACTGAAGTTATTGCGTGGATACTATGAAAGATGTGAATAGAAACCCCGTCAATTAATGGATATTGCAAGATTAATATGGATTATATCAATCTCTTATCTCTTGATAAAGTGATGTATAGCTATGGCAGGAGCTAAATTCAGCCAAGGTTGCATTGTTGTCAGAGAAATGAAGATTTGGTACTAAATAATGTATCAGAGATTACGGAAGACTCAACTCTGGAAGAATTAAAAGATTGAATTTATTTTTTTGGAGTGAAAAATAAATTAGCTTAGCTCTGGAATAGTTGTCGTCTGTTACTCATTATATATACTTTTCTGAAGGATAAATCAATATTATTATTAAGATGTAAATCAAAGTTAGCTAGCGAACTAAAGAATATATTTACAATGAACAATAAATAATATTTATGAGCTCAATTCTTTCAAAGTTGCTTTCAACTGATCATGCATTTTGCTACCCTCGAAAGAATCTTTTGTTCTTCCAATTAATGTTCTCAATAAGGTTTTTGCCTGATATCGCCAATCTTTGCACACAACGTTTTCAATTTCATCAATAGATGTATCATTCGTCATGTTACTCTTAGTTTCCACTTTTATAGCAATTTCCAAGTCTCCTAAATTCTGATATGTCTCAACAACACTTAGGGCCGCAGCAGCCACTTGATTAAACACCTCTAAGGAAGTATCTAATCGTGGATCATGTAACACACATCGATAAGCTTTTAAATGAGCCTCCAAACAGCGATCATATTGTTTCTGCCAAAACCAAAAATCTGCACAAATATGCCATATCTTTGGATTAGTTGTTAATCGTGAAGTTATCGTCTCAGTTAGTAATCGCTCAACTTTGGGTGCAAGCCTGGATAAATTCTTTTGATCATTGTTATCGAGTTTACGTGTCACCGAGTTTATAATTATTTCGAGAACCTCAAGATCAACGCATTTTTCTTTTTCTTTTTCCCAACGTAAATCCACTATACGTTGCATTGCGCGTATCGCTTCTGAAAATTCACCGATATCTATCGCCGTGTACATGTAATTGGTCCAAATCTTCCAACTATCGTAATTTTGTTTCAGAGCTTGTTGAAAAGCATTAAAAGCGTCGACCTTTCGACCTTGCTTTATAAAATTTGATGCGAGATTATTCCATGCCTCTGAATTTTCTGGATCAATGCTGATTACTCGCATAAATGCTTGTATAGCAATATCCCAGTCACTAATATGCATTGCAGCACATCCTTGCATAAACCAAGAATTTTCGAAAAGCGTATTAATTTTGAGTGCTTTAGCATAGCATTCTATTGACTTTTGGTATTGTTGTTGTTTATACCAATATCCACCTAACGATCTCATTGCACGAGCATATCGATTCCCGGATATTTCCCAAGCATGCTCCCAATGTTTCGGATCTTTTTCAATATCACCCAAAATACAGTATAATTTAGACGAATTTGGTGTTATATTTAATCTTTCATGAATTATCTCTTTGGCTTTATTTTCTTTTTCCAGAATTACATAACAATTAATAATTTCTTCCCACATCTCTAATCTTTCAAATATTTGTAATGCAGAACGAATCACTCCAAGAGACATAAATCGCTCTGCTAGCTCTTTTTCCATATCCCATTTCGAGGGCAAAAGTATTTGATAGAAATATTCAATACGTTCTTGAGCACTGGATAATTCAAGTGGAAATTGCTCTACCAAAGCTTGCAGTTGGAGAATTGAACGTTCTACTGTACGTGATTTGTCCTTTTCGAGCCTTGACCTTAACAGTAATCCCATTGTATGCACCATCCAGTTGTTTGGATTTTCAAGAACACGAGATACATAAGGAACCATTTGTTCAGTAGTTATACCGTGAGAAGGATTAGTATTTTTGACATTCAGGCAAAAGGCTAAAAGTATGCATTGATCGATGATTTTAAGATTATTTTGAGGATCTTTTTCGGAATCTGCTTCATTTTCTTCTCCTTTCTCGTTGACATCATCATCTTTACTAAATTGAATATTCTCCAATAATGTATCATCATTTAGTAGAACATTTTCAGGTGCTTTATTACTTGAACTAGTTACAGTTTCTCCAGGTTTATTCGCGCTGCTCGCGATAATTAAAAGCTGTGAAACATCAAATGTTTGGAATCTTGTACGTCGGCCCAATTCACCGGTGACTTTCCATTTTAAACCACTAGATTTTTGTGCTTTGACGAAATGATTCACTGCGAGAGTATCTTGTCCATAATAATGATGAAATAGACCGTATTCCATATGATACCGAGCGTGTATCAATGAATTCTCTTCAGAAAATTGGGGAAGAACATTACCGAGAAACTCTAGAGATTTGAGCATAGAATCATGTAATGAGCCAACAATATTATCAAGAATTCGCTGCTGGATGAATAATACTCTTTGACTCCACCAAGGTGTACTTTTTAGACCTGACAAATAAGCTGCATTATCTACAAGAATGGTACGTGCAATCAACAGGTAGACTGCATAAGACGTTAAGTGGTAAGCTTCCTCGCCGTCCGTCGATAATAATTCCAATGCCTTCTTGTTAAATTCATTAGAATGTTCTCTAACAGACTCGGGTAATACTTTTTGTGGTTCCAAATCAAAAGCTGGACCAGTCCAAGAATTCTGTACGAAAGCGTTTAGACAACTAGCTGCGAGGCATAATACAGCAAGCTGTTTATATAATGGATCTTTCGAGATTTCAGAAGATTCGTTGAAGTAAAGTTCAAGTCTGTATGAAATATAAGCGGCTACATTGAAAGTTTCTCCAAGTTGTTTGAGCGAAGGCTGGACAGCTTTGGTCTCTAGATTTAGGTTTGTTCCAAAAAATTCTCGAGCCACACTTGAGGTTAAGACATTTTTGTATTGAGCTTTTACAAGGTTATACACAAGAAGTGGAGCATGTGGTTGAATTTCTTCTGCTAATGTGCCAGAAATAATTGACAATTCCAAGTATTCAATGGTAGGTTGCATGTTGCAAATTTTCAAACGATATATCGCCAAATGTACATTTTTTGCCGCATAAAATTTTTAATTTAGTAATGCTTATCGATAAATGATTTAGGTTGATAAAAGAAACACAGATTTATAAAAAAATCAAAAATCCTTGTATTTTCAGAATTAGAATTTTTCTCACATATTTATCTGCTCACAAAACTAAGAAACTTGGAATTTCATCTGATACTTTGAGATGTTGGTTAAAACAGGGAAAAAATATCTGCGAAGACATTTCCATTTCATCTCTATAATATTTCTTTTTTTTCGGAGTTACAGTGCTCGTCAGAAGTAACGTACCCCCCCCAAAACTTTCTATAGATCATGTGTAATGTACCAAAATTTTCCGAGTACAAAGAACATTACAATGCTGATCATTGATATTTTTTATAAATTGGTAAAGCTTCTATATTGCGCATTATATGTTCATGAACTTTTATGTTCCAAATACAATGAATCGTTTACTTTAGGACATAATATCTTGACGTCTAGTGATCCAATTTAAGCAAAATATCATCATTTGATTTGTCTAATTAGAAAAATTGGATGGTAATATTTTCATTCAAATTGGATTACTAAATGTCAAGATATTATGTTCTGATTTATATTTGATCAATTTTTCATTAGAAATTGATTGCTAAAAAAATTAATCAATTAATTTATAATGTATATTTTGATTTTCAATAAATAAAAATAATATCATTTGATTTGTCTAGTCAAAGAAAATTGAATAATATTATTTTTGTTTGAATCAGATTATTGGAAATCAAATTAACATATTCTAAATTGACTGATTAATTTTTGTTAAATCTATTATGTTTATATATAAATGAAAAAGCAAAATAGGATAATTATAAAGGAATGTGACTATAAATTGGCATGACTATAAATAGGCATGACTATAGAAGAGTTTGACTATATTATGAATTGACAAAGCTATCTTTCATATATAACAAAAAATCAGATGATTATAAGATGAAATTCATTAAAAAATAATTAAGTTTTTAATTAATGTATTTGATATAATTGTTATTCTCTTTTAAAATTTCAAACATGATAAACAAAAAAAATATGAAAGATAACAAGAAAAACAATTGGAAAATGCTTTGTTAATCTTATTATAATGATTAATTTCAAAAGCAAAAGAAAAAGAAATAATTCAATATGAGATTTACATGTTAAAAACATGTAGTTGATGTGAAAATACAAAATATTGGAGGATCAGAAATGTACAAATGCAAGAATTACAATATAAAAAAATAAATAGAGATGTTAATGGCACTCAAGAAATATTTCTTACTTGATGGAGTCATGATCTTGTCATAAGACATCTTCATGCAGGAAATAATAAACAACTTGTGACAAATAGATGTCTACAGGTAAATATGTGATACTTAATATAATAAAATACATGTGATAAACTTATACACTGCAAAATACAGTAATAAAAATGAAATTTTTAGTCCCATATAATGCGAACAGACTTGAAAAATAAAGGATGTGATCTTTTGAACTTGTATTTATTTCAATTTCTTAACGATAATATTTACATCCATAACTATGATACTATTTCCAAATTAAACTGAATGATCTGATGTTGATTATCTACACATCTGGTCGAGCATCAAGCCATTTTTCTCTTCTATTGTTTGTTGCTCTTTGACTGCTCGTTTTCCTCCCCTTTAATATTGGTAATTTTCAACTTGTAGTTTAATCTGTTGCTATCTTGTCGACCTTTACTTTGCATTCCGAAAGCATTAATAGCATTGATATTTCTAAAGATAATGAATTTTAGATTTTTGAATACTACCCAAAGATTGGTTCGACCGACAATAAATACTTTTCGTGTAGCACTGCCCGCATTTCAAACAGCTGGTTTTCATGCTGGTGAACAAATAATTTAGTTGTCTTATATTTTAGAATGGAAAATTGACTTTACTTTATTTTCCTTAGGACGCATATTATCAATTCAACCGACAAAAGCAGTCAGAGATGGAGCAAGTAATGAATCTAAATTAAATTCAATAAATAAATGATTTCTGCAGATATATTTTTACTTGAATATACACATTTCCTATTCCATAGGTTATATCAAAGGCACAGTCAACGATCCAGTAGAGCTTCCAGCACGCGACAAAGTCGCCGGAGCATACCATTGGGATTTTGAACGTCTCCTCGCTGTCGGATTAATCCCATTGACTATCGCTTCTGTAGTTAATGGGGCTCACCCAATCACAGATCTGGCATTGGGAATAGCGCTACCGATTCATGCTCATATTGGCTATGACGCTATCGTTACCGATTACTTGCCTGCACGTCGTAATCCCATTCTATATAAAGTGAGCACTTGGGGATTACGCGGCGCGACATTGTTGGTGCTTGTTGGCTGTTATCAGTTTAATACGAATGATATTGGGATGGCTGAATTGGTGAAGAGGGCTTGGCATGCGTGATTGATATTTATGGATTGTGTGAATAATTATTGTATTAATTCTATATAGGAACAAAAATGAAAGAGTTAATGAGTGCTTGGGAGGGAAAAACTAAAATAGACTCTATTAACATTATTATTATTTGTTTTTGGTCCCTTTCATATGTTCATATTCCTCGATCGTTTCATTCAACATCTTATCACCGCAATATATATTTGTTAGATTATTTTTCGTCGCGTAACTGTAAATTATGGATAGAAATTTTATATTTTTGAAAATATAGATGTAGAAAAGGAGGCGTCTGATAAATTTTTTATTACGTGTTTTGAGATTTTCAAGCAGATATTACCACCAAACCGATTCAAATGTAATTTAAAGCAATATATCATAACATAATAATATAACGATAATGAACCTTATAAATTTTTTTTGATGATATCATTTTCATACTCAGATTTTTTAGATTTAATATGAGAAAGTTTTTCTAATTGCAAAGTAAGTTGATTAATTTTTTATGTTTTAATTATAAAATTAATCGACTTTGCAATTAGAAAAACTTTCTCAGATTAAATCTAAAAAATCTGAAAAAATATATGTTAAAATATGGATTATTATTATAAAAATATTGATTAATAAATTGAAAACTTTTATATAGAAAGGAAAACCCGCATTCTATTATATTTTATTAATAAATTTTGACGCTGTTGCCACTGTATTTATAAAAAACACAAATTTTTTGTTATTCTTGCAATAGAAATGCAACTCAAGGTAAGAATTTGAAAATTAATCGAGAAAAATTTATTAGATAGGAAACTCAAATTAAAACACATTAAATATTATGTGTTCATATGTAAAAAAAAATTACATCTATTTTCCAAGAAAAATGCTACACTAGTAATTATTGTTGATTATAATCCTGCAGCGTTGAGTGGATTATGTGACACAAAGCACTAGAAATACAAAAATGTTCCAAAATTTGTTCAAGATAATTTGTTTTTTGAATAATAAAATAATGATCAAAAAAGTTTTGGTTTGAAATTTTTTTAGTGTATCATCTAAATAAAAAATGAAAATAAAATACAACATACAGCAAAAATGTCTCTGACATCATGAATCCATTTGATTAAATACTAATTTGATTGATACGTCATATTTTTCCTTGTAGAACAAGTTCAATGCAACTATTAATGTACTCTTTCTTTAGATTCATATCAATGCCAAAGTATTGTGACAAATCATCGCGAACTTGTTTTTTGGTGATTGACATTAAATTGGCGCTGGCTAAAATATTGCGAATTTCTTGTAGAATTTCTTCATCTGAAGGGAAGTTGTCTATCACTGAGCCAGGTGCCCCTGCAAAGTAGGAATCGACTGCACTAATTGGACGCGATCCAGGTGTGTTAGAACCATATGCATCATGAGAGTATGCACGGGATAAGCGTTCGGTAGTTGCAAAAGAACGTCGGGTATCTGGGTCATATTGTGGTGCTGGTGCTGGTGATCGATCTCGACCTATTAATTAATATATAATATATAAAATTAAGTTTAGAATGAATGCTTATTCAATTTCAATTTTTGATAAAAAAAGATAAACTACCTCTTTGTTTAGCTTCTTCATAATAGTCACCGTAAGCTGATCCAGCACGAGAGCCAGCAACAGAGCCACCTTTCTTTGAAGAATGATGGCTACGATATGAATGATCGGATCTTCGAGATTCATGAGAACCTGTTGATCCTACTTCCCATAATTCTTGTTCGTAATCTGACCACTTCTTTTTAGGAATACTCTTTGGATCAAATTTGCCTTCATCGGTTATCAAAATCTTTTTACCCTTTTCACCTACTACCATACGAGTATTACCCCATGAGAAATCATCGAAATGCCAGAAAGCATAGATAGGAAGGAAGAAGGAGAAAACAGGGATAGCAAAGATATATACAATCATCCAACCAACATGTTCCCATTTACGTCGTAGGATAAAGATAATTGCTTGTAAACCTGAAAAAAATCAAATTATTGATAGAAAGTCAATAATAATATATTAACGTGTGAAATTAATATGAAAGCGGTATTTACCATACACAGCGGCCAATAAAAACAAAGATGTGACTGGAATAGTCGAAGGATCGTCAATAATGGTGTAAATAAGATATCCAAGATAGGCGACAGTTGCAGGCATAACCAAAGTGGCAAAAAGATCAAGCATAACCACAAAACGCATAGAGAAACAGCAGAAACCGCAGAGTTGAGGCAAGAACATCAATTCCATTAAATTGTGAACAGTAGAGTTAATCCATCGACGACGTTGAGAAAGAAGAACAGACCATTGATCGGGTGCACTAGTTTTACATTGAGCGTCAGGAACAAATGTCATCTTGTTTCGAGGGAAATGTTTCATCATGAGAGTTGTCAAGTAACGATCTTCACCAAGATGTAATAAATTCTTCTTATGAAGAGTATCGACAATGTTTTCCGAATAATCGGTGATCAAATCGTTGGCAATCAGTAAGGGTTTATGTGTATCAGGTGTACGGACACGGTACATGCAAAAACATCCAGGCAAACATGTGACAGTACCAAACAATGATTCGAAAGCTTTTGCCAAATGATGAGAAATAAAGTATTCATAGACTTGAATCATCGTTACCCAAGAATCTTTTTCGTTAGCAAGTTGAGTTTCACCACATAATCCCATTACTCTGGTATCATGCATAAAAGCAGAAACTAGTCGATTCAATGAATCCGGTAAGACTTCAGTATCAGCGTCTACCATTAGCACGTATTCATAGAAACTAGGATTCACACCAATAACGTTTTTGATTTGATGATACATTTCCAATTCGAGTGGAGTCATCTCAGAATTGAAATGAACCTTGTTCAGGAATCTCATCAGTATCATTTGAGAGTCACGTTTACCTCTATTACCCGGTCGAGATCGTTCTGTTGGTTTGCCGACTTTGACTACAACAAGATAAGGAACCACATGCCCACTGCATTCGTAAAGGCCCGAATAGACTTTGCCCATATTATGCTGTTTGGCACCATCTCCGAGAGACAAGAAGCTCAAGGGTTCAGGGTCAACATTAGGATCAACGCCCAAAATGTCCAAAACAATACGAGGTGTAGGTCGATCATTCCCACTACCAACAATCATACCATCACAGATAATGAACAAAAGCTTACGTTTGTCGTCATAACGTAAAACAGCGAGAGAATCCAATGTTTTCCTAAGAGAATCTTCACCTTCTGTATAACAAGGTATTTGGCAAATAACAAATTTATCGTGATCTTCGGGTTCTCGTTTAGGTCCGAGTTGTAATGCAGCCAAGAATTTAAATGCAATAACAGCCACCAAGAATGCTGAAGCGACGAGTAAAATATAACGGGAGAATAAACATTGAGGTGAATTACGATGATCGACTTTACCGATATAAAAAAGATTACGTAAGCATGTCAATTGAGATCTACGGCCTTCTCTACTAAGAGGTAATGCCTTAAATCGGTTTGTAATGTCTTGACCAGAATTTTGCCGGAATAAATCAATTATTAAACTATCCATAAAGTTTGTATCAACGTCGTGATCAACAGGAACACCACCTTGTCCAAGAGCCCCACGACCGTTAATTACATAAGTTGTTAAGTCATAAACATTGTCATAAAGAATAGCGACTTGCTTTAATCGAGAAACAGCCAGATCTTTAACTGACTGTTGTGAATAACCTTTGTGGCCAACGAGATAATTAGCTCGAAGTTCTCTCATTTTTTCAAAGTACCAATCGGGACGATAATCATCGGTGGAAAATCGGAAATCGTGATATTGTGCATTTGTATCTTTTGTATTGTTCAAATTAAAATCAAAGGTAACAGCGGGATCCACACCACCTTGACCAGGATTAGGACCTGAACAGAGAGCACTCACTTGAACAGGGAATAATGTTGTAGCATCTGCGCCGCCATATCCCAGAAGGGCTTTTTGATCAACAAGATTGACTGGATAATGGCGAGGTGCAAATTTCGTTAAATCGAATACTTCGCCACGAATAGAAATCAAAACATTATTTTTGTTATCCTTTACATTATGCTGAGATAATTCAGCCTCATTATAAATGTAAACACGCGGACAAATTAATCTTCCCAAAACAGCAATAACGAAAATGACCGAACAGGAAATCAAGAAAATAATAAAACAGAGTGCGACTTTTTCACGCCATGCCATCTGAACGTCTTTTCGTTTCATGCCACCACACCACTTTAAAAAGGGTGATGGAATATACCAAGTGAGAAGCCAAGTGAGAAATACCCATTTCTTACGAGCTGCAGTAACCCTATGCTGTTCATCAAGTTCCTCTTCAACCATTTGTTTTTCTTCTTCTGGTAGCATTTTTTCCATTTCTCGGAACATGTTATGTGATGGTGCATACACTTCAGAACCATAAGCAGAAGCTGCATCATCGTATTGACTGTATGCTTCCTCTTGGTAATAATCATCTTCCGAGACATATGATCGATCATCTCCAGATACATTGGATTGAGTTTCATATTGACGTGGAGGAGAACGAAGACGACCCTCAACTAAATCTTCTTTTGAAGGATATGAATGACGAGAAACACCATCATCGCTTGGAGTTCCGAGATAGGCTTTTTGTCCCTTCTTTTTTCGTTTATCTTCGTTATCAAGACTACGTAGACTATCTTCTAAACTACGCCATGCAGTTTCGTCCAAATAGATCTGAGAAGTAAAAAGGATTCATTAGTTATTGAAACAAAGAAACGAACATTGGATATAGATAGATAAAATACCTTAGTCTGACCGATAGCCATATCTGAAGAGCTCCAACCAAAATTGGCGCACGCTGCTTCTACTTTTGCCCGAAGATTACGTTCTTTTGATGATTCTAGAATGCCATCATAACGCTCGAGGAATTCATCATGTGTGAATCCTATCGTATACTCAATTTTTAATTTCTTTGCAATTTCTGATAGTCCATATGATCGCACTTGATTTTTGACTATTTTTTGATCGAATTTATTAGGAAGTTGTGCGTCATTAGGAAGTATACAGAAAATATACCAAGGAGTAGTTTCTTCAAGTGTATCACAAAGTTCATCTAGTGCAGCTTGAATTTGAGTAGCCACACATGCGACCTTTGGTTTCCCTTTATCTCCTTTATCCCCTTTATCTGATGAGGGTGGTTGATCTTTCTTTTTTCGCATTGACGGTGCTCGCTGTGGCTTAACTGATTGCTGTGCTGCAACGATAGTTTTATCATTACGGGGATGAATTTCTATTGCCACTGCCTGATCGGTAAAGAGACCAGCAACAAAGCTATTATAGGAAGGCGCAACTTCGTCACCACCTCGGAAGAGTGTAACGAAGTCACCACTTAGATTATCAATGTTCTTCTCCAGAAAACCGGTGGAACTATAGGTCACTTGTCCGGCAAAATGTTGGATTCCGAATTGAGGTAATGCATTTAAACTTTTTCCGGTTGGTGTATAAGAATTATGTTCTGAATATTTTTTATTGAATGCATCCAACATTGTTTGATCAGTTTTACGATTTGACTTATTGGCCTGATCATCCATAATAGCAATCATGCCTGTAGATGGTTTCGTCAACATTTGAAGGCATTCCGTGTTATCAAAGAATGGCACTTCGGGAATCCCAGTAATTCCCTCACTGCTATATTCATCATCTTTTGCTTCGAAAAGTTGGCGCAAGACAAAATTGTGTATTTTTTCGTTGGCGAAATTAACGCAAAATTGATCAAGTGAATTGGTGGATAAATTTTGAAAACCAAGAAGATCAACAATACCAATAAAACTGGCAAAATCATCGTGACAGAGTTTGGTATTGATATATTCGACTATCCAGCTGAACAATAAAGAATAGAGTGCTTTTGCCAAGTCATCTCGTTGAATTCCGGCATTTTCAGGATCCAAGAAGATTGAACACATTTCTTTTTTGATTAATTTTGTTTTGTAAGTGAGAACAGTTTCGAGTGCACGTGTCTCTACACCCAAGAAATCAGCAACCAAGTCAAGCAAATCAACATTCTTGACAAAAGCTGCATCTTGATGTTTATTTTGATCTTGTGTAAATTGTAGATTACCGAGATGTAATATAGCTGCTAAAAGTTTAAACATTTCTGCAACATGTTTAGTATGAAAACCCAGAGATTTTAAGGCTTGTTTTAGTTCCGAGAAATTGTTCGTATCCACACTACTTGATCCTTTTATCGGTTTATTAACATTAAGATAGCGATATTGAGAAGGTTCAGTGAGATGAAGGTGAGCTTTTTCGTCATGAGTGGCGCCGGCAAGAAAATAGTAAAACACGTGAAAATTTTTTTCACTAGATGAAACATTGGCTACCCGATTTTTATCCAGTAAATAATCAAGAGTTTTTGCACCGATTAATCTGCCTCGTTCGTTAAATTGAAGTTCAGTATATTTTCCAAAACGAGAGGCATTATTATTCTGTAAGGTTTTTGCATTCCCAAATGATTCAAGGATAAATTCTGAAGAAGGAACTTGAGTTTGAACGCGCGATTTTTTCTTTTGATTTGCGCTCAGCGCGACAAGTTGTTTGACTAAAAGTTTTCGAGTTGAAGATTTTCCGCTACCAGATTCACCACTTTAATAAATGAAAAATTACAATAAAATGTTAAGTTATGCGTAGTTATCCATTATAAAATAAACTATACGTGGAATGACAGTAATATATGTAGTAAGTGGAAAATGTAGTACTTGCCTCAAGATGATGGATTGGTCCTGACCAGTTCTTCGCATATGTAAATATGCCTGCGAAGCAAGTTGAAAAGCATGCGGAGGTAATCTAGTTCTTTGATTAGAGGTATCTTTATAATCTGAAACATATTCTTGTACAGTAGCATCACTAAAGACAGGAAGGTCTTTATATGGGTTGATGGCAACAAGCGCCGACTGATTTATACGGGAATAAATGGAGTCATTTTGATGACGGTCTTTAAGAAAACTAGTTATAGAGTCGGGAGAAATTGATTGTATTTTTGTTATGTCGGTTTTATCTTCATTTGAAGCTTTTGTTCTTCCCTTGCGCATTTTGAGGTGAACCGCCGTTACGGTGGTGGCGTCGTTTACGTTGTAGTAATAGTTTTCTGACAGGCAAAGGTTGTTTTTTAATATTAAATTAAAAATTAAATTAAATTATTATATACTGTTATTGTAGAGAGATTATTTATTACTCTAATGGCTAATATATACCAAAGTAGTGTTTTTATAATATTGGTATCTTTTCTATGTAACGTTTTTTACTATAATACTTTTATAAATAAGGGAACGAAAAAGGACTGTTTTTTTGTAAAGAAAAACTGTTTTTTCTCCTTATCGTGTAATATATTGTGTAACAGAATTAGTAAAATAAAATTATGAAAATGATTTTTTGTTTCCAACTAAAACACCTTTCCTCCCGAATGATAACAAGAATAAAATGATAATTACTATTATGATGTTAGATTATTTTTTTTTAGAGAGAGAAAGTGAGGGGAGGAAGAAGCGAGAAGACAGACAGATAAATTGATTGTGAATACAAGTGTGAAACACTCTACTATATATATTCTTATATTTAATATATTAAATTGAATATAATATATTAAGATGCAAAAGCTAAGGCACAATTGCTGCACGCTTTTATATATCAACCATAAAAAACTAGACGAATTAATAGTGATATATATATATATATGTCGGTTTTTTCGCCGATTGTCATATCGATATAAAAATGGACGTTTTTAAGTTGTTTCTTCAGACGGTTGTGTTAAGGTACATATCATCGACCAATAGATTCTTTCTAAAACAAAATGGTTGTAACACAATTTAAAACAAGTGTTATTTTTAAACTGTTGATTTATTAATATCCTATTTTTATATTAGTACTTATCAAATTTCTTTTTAAAGGAAATTATTGTTAGATGTTCAATATTTTTATTAAGGGTATATTCATCACAATCACACACTTTTTTCTAACAGCAGAAAAGAAACCCAATGACGATATCGAATTCTGGGTTGAACATTAATGGACATAGTCAGTAATTTTTAATTAACACATAAAATAAAAGGTAATGATTTACTTCGTAAAGTCACACTACACAAGTCGATGACACCGCCTCACTCAAAAAATATATTTTTGCATAGCCCCGCATTTTATTGTAAATCTTTCCATTATTGTATTGAGCTTCGCCTTGAACTTACTCTCTATCATATTATTCGTAAATTGATAAGCCACATGAAAATGAGACAAGTTCAGGGGTCGAACTTTAGTTATTACAGCAAAAATCAAGCAGGTCAGAGTTACCGCTTATCTCTACCGTAGAGCCCCTCCCATAATACCTGTTCGAGTAAAGTACCCCATTCTCCAGTGCCAAAATTAAGTATTTTTGAATAATACTGGGGGTACTGTAGGCAGTGTTCTACGGTAACTTTAAAAAGTAGCATTTGACTAACTTTCATTTTTCCTTACCAGAAGGATTAAATGAATAACGATCCTCTTATATAGCGAGGTTTGGTTATTGCGAACTTTTGAAAAATTCCCGACTATAATAAAAAGTCTTTGTGTATATATATATAGTGCAGGTCACTTAGTTATCACAATTGGCCAAATCTTTAAGACCTATTAACTCAACAATCTGAACTTTTCAGTCAAAAAAATACGTAATGTTATATAACAGTCAATAATTTATTGATCTAATTATTTTGAGAGCTCTGATATAATTTTTTTATGTGGTGACTAAGTGAACCCACACTGTATAACGATTTTTTGAGCTTGAGCCGATCCATCGTTATATAAGTGGAATCCACTTAACGCTAATCCTATTATTATCACTATATAGCACTAACCCTTACTCTCACTCTTCTCACTCTAACTCTAGTCGTACTCTTATCCTAATTTGGACCGATTAACCTGAACCCACTTTAACGTTAACGTTAAGGATACACAAATTTTTTATCAACCCGACAAAACAAATCCGATACAAACATATGCTTAAATCTATCGCATTTACTAAGTTCTGATTGGTTGATTGCACACCGGGTCTTCTAAATCAACCAATAAATTTTTGATCAACTCGGCAAAACAAATCCGACACAAGAAAATTAAAATATTCATACAGTAATGAACAGCTTAAATCATATATTACTGCGTCATAGTGCCAATTTTCAAATTGCAGATCTTATAATGTAATAATTAATATAATTAATTAGATTTATATTTTTAAACATGTAATCAAATAATAATTATCTCTTTCTTTGTAGCATATTTTTTTTCAAATTAATCATTATAAGAAACATAATTAAAGTAACTTGAATTAATCAATTAAAATAATTATTAAGAAATAAGATTTTTAACTAAAAAAAATTGTGTTAGTGTTAATTTTAAGAAAGCAAAACATATTAATGATAAATTTTAACCAAATTTTCCAATAATATTAGTACAAGCTTTAACAATCAATAATCAAATTTGATTTATTATTCTTTAACTTTAAAAATAATAGTTATATTAGATAATTATCTCTTCTTTGTAATATATTTTTTCTCAAATTAAGTAATTATTATAGAAAATATACTTCACTAGGTCACAATATATATATATTGTGATTTAGTGAATTATATTGTTATCTAGTTATGAGTAAATTGTTATCTACTTACTTGTTTTCGTGTTCTATGACCTTTTTATTGCTTTATTGCTATCCACTTGATTTCACTAGTCTGTAGTTATTTGGTTGCTTTATAGATATCTACTTGATTTCATTGGTTTGTCCTCTTTTTATTTCCTTCTAGCTATTCGCTTGTTTTCATTGCTCTGTGATCTTTTTGTGGTCAAGATACTAGGCTGACGTTTATTGTATAAATCATGTTTTGATCAGAGGGTGCAGTAAATTTGCTAATCAGATTTTGGCCGGTGTTACGATTCGCCGGGCTCTTGACGGTATTGTAACGGGTGTATTCAACCAAACTCTTTAATTATTTTCTTAATTACTTTAATCCCGATCTAATTACGTTAAGATCGGTGCGCAATGTGCGGCTTTCTTCTATGCTATTTAAAATAGGATAGGGTCTCACTACTACTAATAAATATCTCCCTTTTTGTATTTACTTAGTGTGGGGACAGTCCTATAGCAATACAGTACTGATATTCTATAGCGACTTGGTTGATTGTCCAGTAGTGCGCAATAAGATAAGTGTTATAACAAGTGATAATTCAAAGTATTATTATTATAAAATCAATTAATGTACAATTTCATTAAACAATAAACAAGAAGTGGTTTATTGACTAGCTAGATTTTGTATT